AATAATAATAATAATAATAATAATAATAATAATAATAATAATAATAATAATAATAATAATAATAAATAAAAAGTGGCGAACATTTAGCGAGAAAGCACCAAGCAGAATTATAGGGGGGGGGGGAGAAAATGGCAGGTAAAACGGGTCGAAGGAAAGTTGGGGTGTCCGTGAAATAAACCCATCCACCGACACAATAAGCCAGAAAGTTTGCCGCACAGGTGGGTGTGGAGGATCCCCCCCCCCCGGGGGCAACCTCGAAGAGACGCGCTGCTGCCTTTTAACAACTAGGCTCGTTTGCGCAAAACGTTACCTTTCTTCCGTCTCTTAGCTGGGATGCTCTCGCGACCCCCTTCTCCGCAATTCCTTCGGGCTGGGTGGGTGGGTAGGAAGCGGGCGGTCCGGTTCTCCGACCCCCCGGAGGCGAGAAACACCCTCCCCCAACCTCCATTCGGTCCGGCTTCGGGAGTTGACCTGAGGAAGTCTCCGCGTCCTGCAAACACGGAGAAGAAAATTTTAAAACGTGGGTGGGGGGACGGACGGACGGACGGACGGGACAGGAAGGAATTAAAAGCTTTCCCTACCCAACGTGCGTTTTATTAATTGGGGGGGGGGGAGAAGCACCCACTCACCCACCCCGACGCCGTCGCACTTAGGCCTCGCAGCACTTTTGGTCAGCTGAGATGCGGTGGGGGGGGGAAGTAACACCCCCCTCTTTCTTCAAACGCACCCAAAGGTGGCACCGACGCGTTTTTTTACGCAGCCCGAGCAGGCAGGGGTCCATCCCTTCCTCGATCCTTAAAAAGCGCCTTTACGCCCGGGGACGGGGGGGAGGGTTATGTAGTTTAGGGAGCCTTGTTCGGGGCCCCTAACGCCGCCCCCCAAGCCTGAAAAGAAAGAGCAGTAAACAAGTAACGACAATACAACAAGCCCCCATCGCAACAGCCACAATTCTCCAAAGCGCTTACTTTTTAAATCAGCAGATCCGGGTTTCTCAGCCTCGCCAAGGAGGTCGCGCTCCTTCCATGCCGACTTCGGAGGGGGGGGGGAGAGGGAGAGAGAGAGAGATAGATTGATTTACTCGAGAGTAGGCGCGGAGGGGATCAGGTCCCGCATAGGGAACGGGGCGGGCCCATCGCGGGGGTCTCTTAATAACGATCTT